GGAGCAGGGCACAGTGGCCTCAGCAGCTGCCCTTTCTGCCTTGATTTCTCCATCTGAGGAATTTGAGTCATGTGTTTGCTGTTTCCCTGACCTTCCCAAGCTGCCAGCAGGGATAATATATGGAAATTGCTTTGACCTCCTGAGAAAAGAGGGTCTCCAGGAATAGAAAGTTCAGCCGCTAATCCTGTCCCCCCAGACTTCCCACTAATTCCTGCTTCCGATGTCAGCCTGGCAGGTTGAGTTTAGCAAAAGAAAGAACAACTTAGAGGGATGATGGTTTTTCTAATGGCCCCAGTTCTCCAAACACACCCACACACAATACACACGCACACACGGCCTGGTCACAGACCTACCCGCACGCGCAGGTTTCCCTGTCCTCACTCACACACACGCCTCCCGCGGAGCAGTCATAATTGTGGAGAATAATTAGAACTAACATTTGCACAGTGCCCTGCCATTAACAAAGCAGTCCCACCCAGCACTTTCCTTTAATCCTCACAACCACCTGAGAGGCAGGGATTATTGCTATTATTAACTGAGGCTCAGCAAGGTTAAGTGACTTGCCTAAGGTCACTCAGCTACTAAGTGACAGGCAAGGCTCCAAATGGGGTCTCCTGACTCCTAGCACTATCTTCTTCTTCCTGGCCCATGCGCCTTCATGCATTCGTGCCCATTCATTTGCTCCTTCGTTTATTCATGTGTCCATTCCCTAATTCAACAAATATTTATTGTGCATCAGTCATGGGACAGGCTCTGGGCTGCTTTGCTCTGGCTGTCCCTTTTCGCTGATCCTCACAGGGAAGCAGCAAACACATGACTCAAATTCCTCAGACGAGGAATCAAGGCAGGAAGGGCAGCTGCTGAGGCCACTCTGCCCTGCTCCTGCTCTAACCCCATCTGAAGGACTCTGCAGCTGGCTGGGCCCGTATCGGGCAGACCAGGCCCTTGCGTGGCTGGCAACAGTTTTTCGGAAGCAGGAATTAGTGAGAAGTCTGCGGGGAGGGAATTAGCGGCTGATCTTTCTATTCCTGGACACCCTCTTTCTCAGGAAGTCAAAGCACAATGAAATGCCTTTTTCATCCTCATTTTATAGTGGAAGAAATGGGGAAGACAGAGTAAGCGACAGAGAATTGAGACTGAGCCCACCGTGTGACTCTTCCAGCCCCTCCTCTCATAGGCAGGGGTTGGATCAGCAAGTGGCCTCCCAGGCCCCATGGATCAGAGCCCCCAGCTTGTCCCTGTCACCCAGACATTTCAGCTGCACAGGCCCAGAAAATCAAGGATAGGATTTTCTCCAAAATGCCATTGGCATCTCTGGGGACAGAGTCACATTTTCCTACTGCTTACACAACACGGTAGCATTTACAATAGTCACTCCATCCGTCAATATCCGTCGGAGGCAGCAAGAAATGTCCCCCCCCCATCCTGTGCTGACCCAGGCTGAGAGCAGAGGCAGGATGGAGGGAAGAGGGGATATGGCTCTCCCTACCCTTCACAGAGCCCAGGGCTGAAGGGGAGGTGGCCTCCCTTGGGGTGGGGAGGGGCAACCCCCTGGGAACTGCCTGGCACTGGCACCCATGGGCCTTGGAGTCACACAGACTTGGACTCTGATCCAGGCTTTGTACTCTAGCTGTGCAACCATGGGCAGTTCACTTACTTCTTCTCTAGAAGCCTCAGTTTTCTTATGTGCAAAATGGGTATAATGACACCTCTCTCTTGGGGTTGTCTGTGCAAACTGAGTGAGACCATGTTCTGAGCAGTAATGACTTGCAGACTGGTTGACCTGAGTAGCAATATGGTCTCGGACCCCTGTCTGGGCTGACTATCCTATCTTTTCTTGCAAGGGTAAGCCTAATTTCCAGGTGGAATTGTCTGGCATGTCCTTTGCTCTACACCCCAAACAGAGTCTAAATGAAGGCAGATTTGTTGTGTACCAACCACATCAGGACAGTGTCAGGCCTACTCAGAGACCTCTTCCCTTTACCCTGAGCAAGTGGTTCGGTTCACGCAAACCCAGGCAGCAGAGATGGGATAAGACTTCAAGGACTTGGGGCAAAGGACTATGTCACAAAGGACTATGTTATGTGATCATGGAAAGAATATAGGTTTCTGAGACTTGGATTTCTTTCTTCATTTATTTAGTAAATGTATATGTATATTGAATCAATATAATTGAGCATCTACTATGTGACAGGAATATTCTAGATGCTGGGGTTAAAACCACAAACAAGATGAGCAAAATGGCAAACTTCAGAGAAGTTAGATTCTAGTCAAGGAGACGGACAATGTTTATGCAAACAACAGTCAAAAAAAAAATCCTAGCTTTGCTGTGTTTCTTTAGGCAAACCACTTAGCCTCTCTGAGCATGAGTGTCCCTGGATGTTACATAATGATCCCTGCCTCACAGTGCTATGCTGAGAGTATTGCAAACTGGAAAGGCCTGTGCCCACATACACTACTCTGTGTGTGTAAACTTGTGCTTGCCAGCACCCGTTTTCCTTGGCTCAGTGAACGTGGCACCTGTGGGACTCCAGAATCGGTCCCAAATTCCATAAAATCCACAACTCCGCCCACCAGAAATGTGGGGAGGAAACCATATGGCTCTGATATCCTGACTTTGGGTTTGGTTTTGCCCCCAAGACAACACATCCTGAAAGTTTCTCTGTTTGGAACTTACTTCCCCAACTGTTTCTCTAATGGCTTTCATGTTAAGGAGGGCCGAGGAGGTTGGCTGAACACTGGAAATACCCTAAGCCTGGGGAGAGGTCTGGCTTGGGCGAGGGGGCTTTGGGCCTGGCCCCAGGCAGTGGAGAGGAAGCCCAAGGTGCTGCTATCATCAACAGAAGTGCTACTATCATCAACAATGGCGTCCTCCAAGTCCTTCCTTCCTGGCTCTGAGTGCGTCAAACACTCACACTCCAGTCCACTCAAAGAGCTTGACACCAGTGACTGAGCATTGGCCTCACTGTGGCTCTCAGCCCCATCACCCATCCCAGTCCAACTCTTGCTAACGCTGGCCAATCCAGCTCAGTCCAGCTCACCCACACAACCCAGACCTTCCCAAGTAACCCAGTCCACCCCACCCAATACCTCATAACCCAACCTAGTCCATCTGTGGCCACATCATCCATTGCAACTCATCCCAACCCAACCTGCCGGGCTTGGCAGTAGATGCCGTAGATGAACTATTCACCCACCGTTCCTTCCCGCTTCTAGTGTGCCTTTTTATCCCACAGAAGCTGAAAAGTCAAAAACTATACTTCTCAGACTGCCCTATAGTTAGAATACAAATATTATGTAGATTTCACCACACACCATACATTTATGCAAGGTTTGAATTCAGAAGTGAATGGAATGGGTAGAGAGGCAGGGGATGAGGCATCCCTTCAAAACAGACATATTTGTGGAAAAATTTGTAGAAACAGTCAAATGCAGAAGTATAGTAGCATGGTATACTCTGTGTCCCCATCACCCAGCATAAAAAATTATGAACATTTTTTTCAAAGTTGTGTTATCAGTCCAAAGAATTTCCTCCCCCCCCTTTTTGAGACAAAACCTGTCAATACTTTCTATGAAGTGTGCGTTTAGCTGGTGTGGACATGAGACAAGTATGTTTTTGGAGTCCACAGCTGGATTGACAGCTTCCTGATCTGGCAGATGTCTTCCGAATGGTCACAAAAGGGGTAGCTGCCTTGGTGGTCCATCCTGTAGCCTAGCTTGGGAGCTGGTCCTGAAGACATGCCCTGGAATCTGTTTCTTCAGCTCTCCAAACATTTCTGTAAACTATTAAAATACCATGAATATATTTATTCCTGTTTAAGCCATCCAGAGGGGATGTTGTCTCTGCAACTAAAAAGCTAACGCATCCCCAACCTAACCTGTCTTCAACTCATCCTAACCCTGCCCTCAAACAACCCATCCGAAAACCATTCCATCCCATCCAAGCATGTTCAGTTCAGCCTGACTCAAACAAAGTAATGTGGCCTAGCCAAACCAGCCCCAGCAATCTATACTCGACTCACCTCCATCCACCTCAGCGCACCTAAACTCGGTGGACTCTGTTCCAGCCCAGCTTGGACCAACTCTTTTCATCCAAATGAGCCATTTTATTTCCACCCCAACTTGTAGGATCCCATGCAATGCAGACCAGTCTTTCCCAGGTCCAATCCCAATTTACCAAATGAATCTCAACCTGATTCATTCCATGGGAACTGAGCGGCCCAGCCCATTTAATTCCACACATATTTACTGTGAATCTTTTGGCAGCAAAGGGAACCTGAACTTCTCTATAGATGTAAAGCAGAGTCTCCTTCCTCTTCTTCCTCTCCTCTTCCTCCTCTCTTCCCCCTTCCTTCTCCTCCTCCCCCTTCTTCTTCTTCATTTCCTTCTTTCTTTTCTGCCTCCTTCTTTCCTGTTTCTCCCCCCACCATAGACCCCGCCTCCTTGTCTGTGTCCTTTCCTTTTGCCTGCCTACTGTCCTCACAGAGTTTTCTGAGTGTTCAAGATTCCCAGGGAGAAGTCTCTCTTCTTCCCGCCTGGAGAGTGCCCCTAGAACCTCCACTGCTACAAATCTTGTCCATGGCAGTAGGCAGTATTTCTAAATGAACTCCCAAAGATGCCCTTCCCTAATCTTTGAAACTTGTGACTAGGATGAGCCATCACTCCTGTGATTACGTTATGTTCTATGTACAGTTGGCCTTGAGAGAGGGAAATTATTCTAACTCATCTGGTGGCCCCAGTGGAATCACATAAACCCTCAAAAGCAGCAAGCTTCCTCCAGCGGGTGGCAGAAGATGGAAGCCAGAGACATGCAGAAGAAGGAGAACTTAGAGATATCTGAAGTGGGAGAGGGACTTGCCACACCATAGCTGGCTTTGAAAATGGAGAGGGCCACAGTTACCATGACTCGAGACCTCAATCTACAACTACTAGGAAGTGGATTTTGCCACCAGCCTGAATGAGCTTGGGAGTGAATTCTTCCCAGAGCCTCCCCAGAAGACCTCAGCTGGCTGACACTTCAATCCTGGCAGAAGACTCAGATGAGCCCACTGGGATTTCCAGGCTACACAACTACAAGGTAATAAATAGGTGTTGCTATAAGTTGCTCAATTTGTGCTAATTTGTTGCATAACAATAGAAGATGAGTATATCTAGCATGTGTCCGCTCTCTCAGAATCATCCTGGCTCTTTTCCTAATCAGCCTGAGCAATGAATTATTGTGGAATGGGGAGAATAGAGTATTGGACATGGATTCGCCTGGCTTCCACTCCTGACTCAGTCACCTTCTAGATGTAACTTTTAGCCACGTCATGTAACCTTTCTAAGCAGAGCTCGATTCATCCATAAGATATGAAGAGAATCACTTTCCTAGTTGGTGTGCTTGGAAGATTAAATATAATGCATATCTCATGTCTGACACAGAGTAGGGGCTTAAATCTTTCTTGTATTGGTGTGGAATAGCAATTAGCAAATATAAAGTAACCAGGTCAAAGATGTTCACGTAAGCACAGCTCTTGGTTTTCCCTACCATCACTAACAGTAGGACACAGATAACCGGGAGGAAGAGCTGCTAGCAACCTGAGGCCACGCTGATGAAGGGGGTGCTCTTAGACTTTCCCATACAGGGGTCACTTATTCAGCCTGTGTCTAACTCTAGGTCCTGGATTAGTCAACTGGAAATGCCAGGAGACCAGGAAGAAGGAAGCAAGCAGTGGAAATGACCCGGTGTTAAGCAGGTAAATGGAGGCAGAGTTCTGGAAATGAAACCACCTGGTGTCCCTTTCGGGATGAGGGAGCACTTGAGCCCAGCCATGGCCTTCTTCCCTCAGGATACACAAAGCAAGCAGTACTGTGCTCACCTTCGCGGTGTCTTGCTTGTAATTAAGGAGGTTATCAGGAGCCAGAACCTTTCTTGTTCTCGCCAGGTCTAACTTTACTGGATAGCAGAGAGTGAACCATTTTTGCTCCGGGAGGATGTGCAGGCTGATGCCAAAGCCCTGCTGTGCCATGCCGCTTTCAGAGCTCTTCAGGGTTCATTGTGGTCCCTTCTTTCTTCCTAGGCCCAGAGTCTCATCCTTCACCCCTGCCGTCCCTTGGAGCTATTGGATTCGGGCGTGTCCTGCACGGTCTCCAACCTTGTCGGAAAGCCTGGGTTCCAGCCAGCGGTGTGCTGGCGCTGGTTCTCAGTCACTGGCGAGAACTGATTGTTGTAAGTGTTGTCTGTCCAACTCCACTATTCGGTGACCTCACTTGCTGCTTGGAATCAGCCGTGGTGAGGATATACCACAGAATCTGGCAAAGGCTACTGCTCAGGTGTTATACCCCCAAAGAGCTGGTGGTAGACATTTACCAGCACACTGATGCTTCCAGCCCTGGTAGCCTGGGGAGAAGGGGATTCCTGCCCTTCTCTGGGCCTCAATTTCCTCCTTAGTCAAGGCCTTAGCTACCCTCTAAAGCACCCCCCCCCCATTTTTTAAAGCTCATTAGATGCCAAGGGAAAGAGAGGAAGTACTGAAAACAAATTTTCTGCTTTCATAGTAATGCTCTAACAATAAAAATAGTGCTCAAAATAGTCACATTGAGAAAGAACTCTTTCTAAGTGTGCTAAGTACCATGTAATGAATCTCATCTAAATTCCCCTTTTTTAAACCAAACATACCTGATTCAGTCAGCTAGTAAGCTACTTGGGGTTGAACACTTCTTTCCCCCTTGACCCAAAATTTGGGTACTGCATATAAATCTGGGCTCCACCACCTTCTAAGTTACTTGGACTAAGTTACTTAATTTCTCTGTCTCCATTTCCTGACCTGTAAAATGGGCATAATAATAGCAGTTTCTACTTCTTAGGGTTATTACGAGTATTAAGTGAGAAAATCCACGGAAGATGCTCAGATCAGTGCTAGTCATACAACAAGTGCTAAATAAATGTTAAATGCTTTTATCCTTGCATCTGTGGAACCCACACAGCCCTGGTCCATGGTAGGTGCCCAATAAATGTATAGGAAAGAAGGGAGGCTAATTGATAAATAGAAACTGTGTGTTCGTAACTAAATGAATCTTTCACATTTACTTACTCAGTCTTTCCCATTTGTTTTCACTTACTTATCTCACTATGACCCTCATAGATGTTCTAGAGAGAGCAAGGGGTTTCATGCGTTTAGTCACTCAACAAACATGAATTGAACCTCCTGGTGCCAGGCCTTGGCTAGGTGCTGAAGCCATCATCATGAGCTCTGGTTTTTGCTGGTGTGAGAGCCATGGAGCCCTTGGTCTTCTGGTGGGAAAGAGGCCCCCCTCATGGGCTATGAGTTTCATGCTTGCTGGCACAACGGGTGGTGCCAGGCTGAGGGTGGAGATGCCCAACTCCCGGGCCTGCACTGTTCCAGCTGTGACCTGCCACCTGGACCCTGGGTCAGATGATCTTGTGTTGGAACCTGGGCTCTGCTATCTATGAGCCATGTCCTTTGTTCTGGAACAGGTCCCCTCATTTTTCTATGCCCTGGCTTCTTCTTAAGCAAAACAGGGGTTTTGCTTCCAAATTCAAGCCTGTGTATGTGAGGAGTAGAGGGTGACGCAGGTGTGTGGCACATTGGAACACCATCAGTGTATACTTTCCCTTCCTCTGGGCCACACTGAGGAAGAAATGGAAGCTAGCATTTGTTATGCAATATGCTGGAATTACATGAAGATTCAATTCTCACAGTGATTTGCTTAGTCAGTCCTCTGTTTTTCAAATAAACGGAGGCCCAGAGAGGTGAAGAAACTTTCCTAAGTTCCCCAAACCTTGTGTGTGGGAAGGGAGGCGGGGTGCAGGATTCAGCCCAGCCCTGCAACCAGAGGTTTGCCACTGTGTGGGGCCTCTCCCCGGGCTAGAGGAGAAGCCACTGGGGCCCTGGGACTGTGGCTGGCCCAGGCGGGCCACAGGGTGGGTGGGGGCGGGAGTGAGTGGTGCAGGCCTGGGCCGGGACATGCAGGGAGCCCTGGCTAAGAGATCGGCTAGCCCCACACAAATAAACCCAGACATGGGGGCCGGGCCTGGGGCTCACTGGGGACTGCGGCAGGGCAGGGCTGGAGTTTCACTTTTCACCCAGCTCAGATGGGGAGTGACAGGGCTGGGGGCTGCCTGACAGTTCAAAGAGGATATGTGGCTCGGAGGTCGCAGTTCAGCAGAGAAGTCATTCCCCAGCCCCCTCGGCTGGGAAAAATGTGTTCAAGCTGTTCCCCCTCCTGGAGTGCTCTCTTCTCCTACTCCCTTCCCATCCCTCTCACTGCGCTGTTGGGGACAGGGGAACTCTGGGAACCACTGGGTCTGGCTCCAGTTTTTCCTCCTCTAGGAGGTCTTCCCTGAACATTCCTGCCTCCACCAATGTCGTTATGACCTTCACTTTCATTTCACTGAGCACCTACTCTATGCAGGCTTCTTGCCAGGCCCGATGCCAGGCACAGGTGATGTGGAGATGGAGAAGCCTGCCCACTGAAAGAGCTCACTGGTTGAGTGAGGAAAACATGCAAAATCAGATAATGTTGGTACTACATGATAAGAGCTAAGACAATGGTAGCCTCTATTTATTAAGCACTTGTTATGAGCCATGGGTTTTGTATGCATTATATCATTTGATTACTATAATTCCATCTGACAGCTGAGGACACTGAGGCTTTTGGAGGGCAACCTGCCCACGTCACATGGCACGAACCCAGCCTGTCCAGTTCCAACGCTTTACTCTGTCTACCATCTGTTCCAGCCCACGGGCTCTGGAAAGCCTGGAGAACCTTGCTCGGCTTTAGGAAGGAGAGGTGGGCCAGGGACCAGGGATGCTTCCTATAGGAGATTGTTCCTGGGCTGCTCCTGGAAGGAGGAGACAACCACTAGTTCGCTTGGTGGAGAGATGGCATTTCAGATTGAGAGGAGTTTGTGCAAAGACCCAGGGAGTTGAGTGCCAGTTCTCTGAGGCTATGTTTTGTTCTGCCTGCTCTCGGGCCTTTTGCAGGCTTATCCTGTTCTCCCAGGCCTTTCCCTTTAATTCTGCTTTCTTGCCCACAGTTCGTCTTTCTCTACATGACCTCATTCTTGCCCTTGGCTTCAGCTACCATCTTTCTGCCAGTGACACAAATGTCTCTCTCTCCTCTAAACTAAGAACCATATACCCACTGCCCACACGACCTCTTCAATCCAATATCTTAAGGGGACTTGAAATGCCAACAGGCCCCAAATAGAACCTGTCTCTGTGCTTGGTGCCAACATGCATCCAGCAGTCCTTCCCCAGCCTGACACCTCTGCAGCTGAGCCCTCACCAAGGCCTGTGGATTCCATCTCCACCTCTGTGCTCATGTCTGAGCCACCCTCCCATGCCTGGACTGTAGCAGCAGCCTCCCGTCTCCCCTCTCCACTCCTGCTCGTGGTCCAAACTGTCCCCAGCAATGTTGCCAACACAATCTTGTGAAATCCCATTACACTCTTCTGCTTACATCCGTGACTTGCCATTGCTTTCAGGATGAGATTGATTCCTTCTGTGGCTCCCAGGGATCTGTGTAATGGAGGCCTGCCACTTCTCCAGGTTTACCTTTCTCTGTGGTACTCATGGAACCATCATACCAACAACACTGGCTCTTTCTAGCTATTTGAATGTTCTGGGTTTCCTCCCACCCAAGAGCCTTCAGACACACAGATTCCACTGGGAGAACGCCACTCCTGACTCCAGGTCAGATCTTGCCTCAGTCAGCACCTCCTTAGGAAAACTCCCCGACCCTCAGAGTAGGTCCCCTTGGCTGCAAGTGGCTCATTGTCCCCTGAGTTTTTCCTTTGTAGCACTTACCCATTTATAGTTTCTTTTCTTTCTTTCTTTTTTTTAATGAGTTGGAGTCTCACTGTCGCCCAGACTGGAGTGCAGTGGCACACTCCCGGCCACTGCAGCCTTGAGCTGCTGGGCTCCGGCGGTCCTTCTGCCTCAGCCTTCTAAGTAGCTGGAACTACAGGCACGCGCTACCACGCCCGGCTAATTTTTGATTTATTGTAGAGATGAGGTCTCGCCAAGTTGCCCAGGTGGGTCTCGAACCCGCGGGCTCAGGCAATCCACTCACCTCAGCCTCCCAAGGCGCGGGATTACAGGCTGAGCCACCGAACCCAGCTTATAATTTCACATTTGATTAAAAATGACAGTTTCTTCACGGGGGCAGGACCATGTATATTTGCTCACTACTATGTATATTTGCTCACTACTATCTATCCCCGGTGCCTCACATGATCAATTTTTCTTCAGTGAGGCCTCCCTTTCCTTCTTGGTGGTACTCTCTCCCCAACAGGCTATGAGCCCCTCCAGGGCAAGCCTATGCTCGGCTTCTCTGTGTCCCCCATGATGCCTGGCATGGTGCTCTGCCAGCCCAGACCCCCAACCAGCATCTGCTGGGCTGGCTCCCAGTATCTGCTCGGGTTGGTGGAGGTGGTGCAGGGTGGGGCTGGGATTGGGCAGGGAAGTGCCAAGGGGCATCTGATATTGTGTCTGTACCCTTTACACCTCAGAGATAGGGAACTCAGGCTTCACTGGCTTGCTGTGTGACCTGGGGTAAGACCCTGCCCCTCTCTGGGCTTTAAATTACTCAGGGGATTGAACCCATGACCTTGTAGCTCAGTCTGACTCCAAGAATAAACTCTCTGACCCTGGAAAGGAGGTTGGGTGTCGAGGGCCCACTTTTGGAAGCCTCTGGAGAGAGTAGAGTGTTTCTGAGGCTGCAGAAAAGGACGATTAGGGGCTTGGGGTCCAGGGGGCTCTTTTTCCTGCTCCCAATTACTCGGGGAGGTAACCACAATGAGTCTGAGACTCCACCCACTGCTCCCCCATGACTGCGAGCACTCACCTCCAGGGAGCAGCCCAGACCCCTCCAAGTCACTTTTGGACAGGAAACGATGTTTACCGTGTGTTCACAAACAGGCCATGGCAGCAGTGGATGGAGGTGAGTGCTACCAGTGACTGCCTCTCTTCTTTATCCCAGGAACTGGTTTATCATCTTATTTTACAGGGGGGTAAACTGAGACTCCAAATGGGCAGCTGTCCCCCAAGGGCCACATATCTAGGCTCTGGACGACAGAGCTGACACCAAAGCCGGCTGTCTGAGGTTGTTGCTCAGGGGAGCGGTGGTTGGTGGGCCAGGCCTGGCTGTGCCAGGAGCAGGTGCACATTTGGAGCTCTGTGCAGGGAGCCAGGAAACCTGGGTTCCAGATCCACTGGTTCCACGTTGTGACCCGGGTAAGTTACTCTGCTCCTCTGGCATGAGGTCCTCACCTGTGTGATGGGAGAAGAGGGAAGGATCAGGCTGAGATGGCACAGCAGGTGGGGACACTGATGGTAGTCTCTCTGCTCCCCAGAGCCCTGGGAGGGTGTGCTGGGCTCTGTGGGGACTTGCCTGTGATAACTCTGTGGGGCTCAGGACCAGGCCCCT